TGTCTTCAAACCAAAGAAACCCAAACCATTAATAATTTAACAGAGTTGGGTTCATTTCATTATATAAAATAAATCGATCTCATACTCATTCATTAAGTTATTACATGAATAACTTAAAAGTTTTATATTATAATAATACATCTTATTTTATTATATATATATATATAAATTATTTGATATATAGATAGTATAAAATTTATTTTGCATAATATATTTATATTAATCTTAAAATTTAAAATCTTAAATCATAAAATCTAAACCTTAAATAAGACTCATAAATCATAAAATATATAACCTCGTATAAATAATTTTTCATATATAATATACATTTGATTGTTAAATTTATTAGCTTATCTCATAATAATTATTAAATTTTTATCTCATATCAAGTTTTACACTTGTATTCCACCAAACATATTATCCTTATAATTCGATGATTTAATAAATAATTTATCTTAAACATTTTATGTAATTTTTAAATATCTTAAATATATATTAAAAAGAAATATTTTTAAAATAAATTATATTGTAATACAATTAGGGATGACAACGAGTCTGGTTGGATCATTTTTCAGTCAACTCGATCCAACCCAAAAATAGGTATCCTCCACTCAAGTCCGACCTAACACAAAAATTATATATCCTTCACTCAAGCCTGACCTTATCCCAAAATATATATTCTCCACTTTACTCGATTTTTTAGAGTGTAAATCCGACCTAATCCAATATGACATGTTATGAAATAAGACTTAATTAAAAATAATAATAACTTTTTTAAATAAATTACATTATTATCTCGGTCGAGTCAGGTCAAAGTTTTTCACCCTCCACCCGATCCAATCCAACTTCACTCCTTTACAAAATTCGATACGATCCGACCCCATCCCATATTTTTAAAATCCGACATTATCAAATCGAGTCGGATCGAAACCGTAAGTTTTCGTTAAATTGTCATCCCTACATAAAATTTTAAAATGTTAGATCACCACTTGATGTGGATATAAAAAATGATATATCTAATCAAATATAAATTTATAACTCAATAATTCAATATAAAACCAAAAAAAATTAAGATCACGAGAGAACAAATCCATAAATATAATTTTGAAATAATAATAATATGATATTAAATACCAAATAATTTTATTATTCATTATAAACATGTGATAATTCAGCTGTGGTATTATTCAACTCATTGAATAAAACATTATCTTTCCCAAAAAAAATAATAATAAAACAAAATATTAAATGTGAACAAATTTGGTTGAGCGGTGCATTAACAACAGTCTACTCCTAGAATTTATGACCATTTGGTTGAACAGTGCATTACTTCTAGTTGTTCAAATGTCTACTTTTTTAAGCTATAATAATTATAATTATATTATATTATCATAATTATTAATAACTAATTTAGATTAAAATTACTAAGTTCACAATAATTAATATAAACAAATATTCGAAACTATCACCTAAAAGATTCTAAAATTTTAATTTCATCCCTAAATCAAGATCTAATCCACGATTTCCACATGTATATTAAATTATTATTATTATTATTATTATTATTATGGACAATATATCACAATGGACACAAAGACGGAAAAAGGAGGGCTGAAACAATATACAGCGCGTGGGACCGGACTACATAGGGAGTTGAAGAATCCAACGGCTCATAATTGAGGATCTGGATCAACTGCATTAAAAGATGTGAGTAAACGCACCGCTAAGATGGCAATCGTGTCGTACTTTTGGTTGTCACGGTTGAGGTGTGAAAGCGATGCGAGTGGGTGAAAAATAACAGGATAGACTAAACCATTTATAACTATCATTTTTTGGTCACCGTATTGTGCGTTGTTTTAATTTTGTCACTAAATTTTTTGAATTGTTTTTTGTCATCGGATGATTAAATATCAGGGTAAATTACGCGTTTAATATTTAAACTATCAGTTTTGGTCTGTTTTAGTACTTAAACTTTTAATTTTTCAAAATCATAACTAAAGTTTAGTTTTTATTTTATTTTAGTATCCGGTCGTTAAAAACTTTAGTTTTGGTTTTATTTTAGTACATGTTCAAAATTTAACGTTAAGTTTCAAAAAAAAAAAAAAAGAAAATTTAGGACTAAATCAGACCAAAATTGATAGTTTATGTACTAAACGTGATAAGTTTTTAATGGCATAGTACTAAAATGAAATGAAAACTAAACTTATGTATGATTTTTTAAAAATTAAAAGTTTAGATATAAAAAAAACTAAAACTGATAGTTTAGATATTAAATGTGTACTTTACCTTGAATATTACTGATATAATTATATGATCATCGTTTTTTTCTCTTTTCAAAAAACTATCAACTCCTCTATTTATTGTTATCGATCAATCATCTCTTGTTATTAATTATTATATGTGATAAGATTAATATTAACGTGTTTATAAAATTCATTCAAAATTGATAAAAATTATCTAAAGATTCAATGATCTGATTTACTTTAATTATCTTTTGATAAGGTTAGTTTCTAAAGAAAATCTCATCATTTGAATTTTTAAACAAAACACTTAAATTCATCAAATCCGAGAAAACCTCTAAAATTATAAAAAAATATTTTTATATTTGATTTCATGTTTTTGAACAATATTTAAAAAATACATAAATTGATAACAAAATTAATATAAATGGTAATGGAATGTATTCGTCATCGTCTAAAATGAAAATAATAAAGCTAGAAAACAATAAAAAAATTATGGTGACTAAAATTGGGTGAAAATTCCTAAATTTTGATTGAGAAAATGATGATACAAGAAATATTATATGGATATAAAACGAAGAAAAAATATTTTTAAATTTCATATCAACACACGTTAACACTAAAATGTCACATTATTTGATTGATAATAATATAAAGTTCATTGATAAAAAAAATTAAATGTTACATTATTTGATTGATTATAATATAACAGTTCATTGATAAAAAAATCAATTCAAAAATCCAAGAGTAAATTGAAATAGTTTATAATTTAGGTTTAATACCAAAATAAGTGTTGAAATAATGCCGTTTTTCTCGAATAAATGCCTAAACTATTTTTTGACTAATCCAGGTGTCCGGCGTTAAAAACGTTACCATTTTAGATGCCTCAGCTCCAACGACTGTTAAAAATCTCGTTAAATAACATGTGTCACAAACTTAGAATTTTGAATTTTTCTATTTTTAAAAAAAAAAAAATATTAAAAAAACCCTGGATCCGCCTCCCCTCCCCTTTCATGATTTCAATTTTCATGCCCAAACGGTCAAAATTCAAACAGTCGGTCGACCAAATGGTCAAGGGGTCAATTTTCACAGTCGATTAAACGGTCGATTATCACGATCGATCAAATGAATTTAAGAGATTGGGTATTTGGGGTATTAGAGGTTAGGGATTGAAATTTAGGGATTTGAGAATTTTAGGTTTTGAGATGGTATTAAGAGTTCTAACTGGTTAGTAGGTGGTCAGTGATGTATAGGTGGCCCACCGCCGGTAAATGGGTAGCCAGAGATGACTGGTGGTTCGAGTAAATGTGACTAGAATAAAAGATTTTAAGAGTTTCTTTTGTATTTTAGAAAAATTAGAGTTTTTTTTTCAAAAATAAAATATTTTTAAGTTTTTTAAAAAAATAAAATTACTAAATTATGACGCATGTTACTTAACTGGCTTTTCTAACGGCCATTAGAACCGAGACACCTAAAATGGTAATGTTTCTAACTTTAGACACCTAGATGAGTCAAAAAAATAGTTTAGGCACCTATTCTAAAAAATGGAATAATTTGGGTAGTTATTTTGATATTAAGCCTATATTTATTAGCTAAAAAAGATATACGCTACAATTTAAATGACTGATAATATAATTAATCCAAAATAATAAAGTAAGCCCAACACTTTTCTTCAAATCATCTTTCCACATCAAGCTCGTTTACAGTTTACCTAACTTTTTAAATTTCTCATTTATTTAGTAAAACTACATTCCAACATCCCATTGTATATTAATTTATTTTCTCTCTCTGCTATATAAATGATGGGTATAAGTATACTTTTGCCAAATTGCAGACAAGTGCCTCAAGTGAATAGTGTGTGTGGGGACTAGATGAGATATTTTATAAATTATTTACGTTTTATTCGATCAAAGCTCAATTAATATTTGAATCGAATGAATTTGATTTAAATTTTTAATGAGCAAAATCGAGTTACTTGCTATTAGACTTGGAAGCTCATAAAAAACTAAAAAATATATCAAAATTTTATCAACATTTACATCTTTTTTTAAAAATATAATATAAAGTTTTAATGTACTTAAAGTTTAAGTTCACATATTGATATTAGATTAAATCCTAACCTACATTTTTAGTATTTAAACTATTGTTTTTTGTTCCATTTTGACACTCAAATTTTAATTTTTTAAACCATACCTAATATTTAATTTATGTTCCATTTTGGTACCCTAATATTAAAAACTTAATGTTAGTGTTGACGTATCACTCTAATGTAATGCCACATGACGTCATCATTGAAAAATAATAAAAAAATGGCATATCAACAGTTCTATTAATTTTTTTAACGGTGAGGTATCAAATTGAAACTTAAACTAAATGTTAGATATAATTTTGAAAAAATAAAGTCAGGGTACCAAAATGGAACAAAAGTAATAGTTTAGATACTAAATGTGTAATTTATCTTAGATTAAATTATAAAATTTAAAAATAAATTTAAGATTAAATTAAATAAAAAGAAAACTTGAAGACATTTTTTTTAATTAGATTGAACATATTAAACAAAAATAAATAAATTGTTTTAAAAAAATTAAAGGGCGGAACGTCTCATATTTTTCACGGATAACTACATAAGAAATATAATGGTACTATTTTGGTAATTAGATTTTGAATTTCTCATATATTAGTAAACTACATTCCAAATACATTGTATATTAGTTACTACTATGCTATAAATGGTGGGCACAGATACACTCTTGCCAAATTCCAGCTAAACAAGTGGCTCAAGCCTCAAAGTGAATAGTGGCGGTGGGGGTCTACCAGTGAAGATTTGGAAGCGAAATATGGACATGGAGCAACAACAAATTGACCCAAAGTTGCTCAACAAAACTTTGTGGTTAGACCAAGAGAGAGAAGAAGAAGAAGAGGCGGGCGTGGACCTTTTAGCAAGGCGTTCGAGCTCAAAGCATCCACCCAATGGAGTCGGAGCTACTGCTAAAAGTGCTGAAGGTGAGCTTGAGTCTCCCCCTTCCAATGGAACTACCCTTGAAATTCCCGACCAAGAAGTGGAAGAAAGAGAAGATGCACCAGTAACTGCATGCGGCGGCGAGAACGGGGAAGGCGGCGGAAACAGCGTTTACTTTGACAAACTCCAAGGTACCCAAATTTTCTCACAATGGTTCTCAGTATGTTAGAACTTAGCTACACAGCTTTTAGAGTTTAGATTGTTTTTTCTTTTTCTTTACTGTGTGATCCCGGTGAATCTCTTCTTCTTCTTCTTCCCTCGTTTAGTTTTTGCCTTCTTCAATGTTGACCCTTTTTTGCTCACGGCTCTGTGCATAACAAGAAACAAGACTTTCCTGTCATTATAAGCAACTTGGTGCTCAAATATCATGTGAAAGTTGAGGACCACCACCAAATCTTGATTTCTTTGGCTCATCCTGCATGTGACTGACACTGACGCTCAATCTTTGCCTTTATTCACCATTTTTCTCGTTTTGTATTTTTTTTATTCCCCTACTTGTTTCACCATCATAATCCTCTCTCATATCTGTTTGTTAGTACGAATGCCATTGTTTATCATTTTCTGTGGCTGAAGGAATATGGATATGTCGCCATTGCAATTGGTCCCATCAAATTGGAGATCCTTGCATACATAATGTCCAAGATCCTGAGGGGTACTTGCACTTGCCAATGAGTACCAAAACATTAAATCAGTGGGGTTTAGAAACTAAAGGTCAGTGGATGCCTAGATTAGTAGCAGTTGCCTGGTGATCAAGTCGCCTTAGATTGAACATTGTCAATGGATTATTGTAGTGGTTTCTGGGTAGCTGTTTCCATCGAAAATGCTAGACGGATTCAAACTTGAACTCTGAAGTTTTGTTGTGTTTAGATATGTTCATACTTCACTTTTCATCTGTAAAAATCTGAGTTTCGGTTTATAGTCTAATATTCCAATGATCAGTTGCAGGTCTCAGATATTTAACTAAATCATGGCATATTTTGAATTGAAATGTTTTCTATAGAAAAAATGGTAGATGACAGTTGCATAACATGCTTCATGGTTGCAGGCACTGAATCCATCAATGAACAGCAATCTGAAATTACAGAATTCCCGAGCATGGAAATCAATCATCAAATGGTGAAAAATTCTGAGGATAAGAAAGATTTTGGTTTGAGAGCTGCACCAGTTGAACATTTACATGAAGCAGCAAATGGAAGTTTCATCAATGAAAAGCAATCTGAAATTACGAAATCCACGAGCATGGAAATCAATCATCAAATGGTGAAAAATTCTGAGGATAAGAAAGATTTTGGTTTGAGACCTGCACCAGTTGAACACTTACATGAAGCAAATGGAAGTTTCAAGCATTTTGAGAACGGAACCAAAGAAGGAGCCGACGTTGACGTATTTGAAGATATCGAAGAGGACTTGGTGGACTTAGATGTTGAAAGGGTTTTAGATAAACAAAATACACATCATTTGTACTGCCCAAATTGCCATTCCTGCATCACAAAAAAGGTTATCCTTGTTAGAAGAAGGCCAAAAGTTTCAATACGCCACAGACCAAAGCGTGGCAGCAAGCTGGATCTGATTCCTAATTCTGCAGGCTTAGGTGGCAGTGATGACGCACCTGAAATCCATCCAAATGTTAGTCCAGTAGCAGCACCAGATGAGCAAAATGATGGTAGAGAACAGGAACAAAAACAAGAAGCATTCAGTTGCTTATCATGCTTCAGCCTTTTCATTCCTATAGGTATTCTGTTACTTATCTCGCATGATAATCTAATTATCTTACTGATCATTATAGCAGAAACAACTTTATGCATACAATGGTTAACCTCACATGCATGCAATGTCCATTTTGATGCATGTTTTTATGTTACCTGTTAGTCCCTTGGTATGAGTTCCAAATCTAATAATGTCTACGTATATTTTTAACTTGGCAAGTTTCAGATCATTACTATTCAGGGTGATTTATGGGCATGAAACCTAATTTCATTCTTTAAATCTTGAAGGAAATGGTTGTTTCAAGATCTTAGAGTTCTTCAGATGGGGGAGACAGACTGAACGCGCACAACATACGCAAGAGATTAGACAGACGGAAAACATACAGACCACACCTGAGATAAGGCAGATGGAACACACAGGAAGTTCCCAAAGAACAAACCTGAATGAGAACACACGAACTCCACAAGGAGTAAGCCCAAGTGAGAATACACAAAGTCCTCAAGTGACAAGCCTGCAGGAAAAAATAGAAATCTCTCAATTTGTAAACCAGAATGGAAATGCTGAAACTCCTCAACAGGTAAGCCATGGTGAAGGCGCACAAAATCCTCAGAAGAGAACCCATGATGTGGAAAGCAGTGGTCCTCGACATATGAATCATAATGAAGATGCAAAAAAACCTCAAGATATAAACTGGAATGAGGATACACAAAGTCCTCAAAAGATAAGCCATGATGCAAACATGAATAATCCTCAACATATAAAGCATGATGAAGATGCACAAAAAGCTCAACCTATAAGCTGGAATGAAGATAAACCAAGCCATCAAAAGATAAGTCGCGATGAAAATGCACGAAGTCTTCAGGACATAAACCAGAACAACGGCAAGCAAACTCTTCAAAAGATAACTACAGATGGAACAAATTGGAAAGGTATGGTTAACTTTACAAACATTATTGTCTTTGTATGTTTATTGCTTACCCTTTTCTCTTGGTATGGAGTTTGTAGTTTCTTAGAAGGTTTCAGATTGCCTACGACAATTTGTGTTAGGGTTTTCCTCTCCGGTTCTAATTGTTTGTTTTCACTAGAGCCTTTTTGAATGAGTTGAAGTAGTTCCTTTCAAGTATTTCTTGTGCATTAGCTTAATAGCTGTCCCTTTTAGACTCTGTTAAAAACTTGTTTCAAAGGAAAGTTCTCATTGATTATTCCCCGCTTTTGTGTGCTTGCATGACATTTTTGAGGAACCCCAGGATTCAAAGTTGCAATGTCTTTGTGTTAGTGATGGTCTTTTCTGTTTCGTCTCATTTTCTTGTCAGCTTTCGACGAAATCCCTTAACTATCTTGGCTATCACCTTCATATTATTCTTACTAATAGCTGTCTATTTGTGCTTCACATGGAATATTAGAATCTTCACCTGTTCAAGCTGGTCTTGCTGTATCATTAGTAAGTGCTGCAGTGTTAACCCCATCAATTACCGACAAGGGATATATTGATGGTGTAGCTATGAAAACCGAACCTGGAATAAGTGGTATATTTTCTCCAACAAAGAGCACTCTACTTGACAAGATTATAGCTGACTCTACTGAGCAGAAGCCAGATGTTGACGTGTTGCAGAGAATTGTTGGTATGAGCATCTTTGTAGGGCTGCATTTTCATAAGATGATTTTACTGCTAAGCACTCCTTTTCATATTTGCATATTTGCTTTAAGCTGAAGTGACATTTATTATTATATACTCCCCAAAAGCTCCTATGCATTTGGCAATGTTGATCACTTGATGGAACCTGCTCTTTCTCAACATACGAAACAGGACTTTTAAGCTCAATGTTTTTCATAGCAATCTTATATTTTCAATTCTTACATAAATTTGTGTTTGCTTGCTATTATGGAAGTACCGATTCACACATTGTCTGTGCCCCTTAATTGAATGTTTAACTCCTTAAGTTATTTCAAACTGAAAAAAAGATTGCTTTCTCACATGTATCGACTTGTATACTTGATTGTTATTGTAATGCAATGTGTCGAATGTCAGATTTGTTGAAGTCCTAACTTTTTAGCATCGTCTGCCATTGCAATATGATGCAGGTAATGAGATAAAGGATCTTGAAACTGGACTACTTGAGCCAACATTTCACCCGGGGACGGATGTGGCACCTTTGTCTCAAAGAACAACGGAAACTGAACGTAGAGGTTCCATTGCTGGTGAAGTTCATGAATGGGAAATTCTGAAAAGCGTTGTCTACGGTGGATTAGTTGAATCAATCACAAGCTTAGGTGTTGTGTCTTCTGCAGCTGGTGCGGGTGCTGCTACATGTAAGTTTCCTCTCTTTTTCCCTTCTCTGGATTACATCAAATGGCAAATCTGAAACTTTATGATGACTCCGGTTCCTTGATCGCAATATTGCAGTGAATGTTTTGGCTTTGGGAGTGGCTAATCTGATTGGAGGCCTTATCATCATTTTTCATAATGTGAGTTTTCCTCCTTGGTGAATAACATTCCTTGATTCGAATGATGCATGATGAAACTGAAAGTTGTCTATTGATATGTAATGAATCGTTTTTAATCTATATATCGTGTATCCATGAATGTTGTACTGAAGATCCGACCTGTATTCGGATCCAACTTCGAAAGTCCCTGCCGACAAGAACAGTATAGGACTTGTAAACTCGTAGGCTCTTGTTTTCATTCTTCAATATGAATGTTCGCAGTCAGACCCTTGTCTTTCTCATTTCTGTCACTCTGCTAACAATTAAACTTTTCAGCTTAGAGAACTGAAAAACGACCGACCTCGTGTCGGTGGAGCTTCCGATGTCGAGGAAGACCGGTATCAAGTGCTGTTGGGACGGAGACAGAATTTCATAAAGCATGCGGTTGTAGCTATCTTATCATTCCTCGTTTTCGGCTTGGTTCCTCCTGTTGTCTATGGCTTCTCGTTCCGTAAAAGTGACGATAAAGACCTCAAGCTCGCAGCAGTGGCTGGCGCTTCTCTAATATGCATCTTTTTGCTTGCACTCGGGAAAGGCCATGTTAGAAGGCCACATCGAACTTACTTCCGGTCCGTGTCTTATTACATCGGCCTTGGGATTACGGCGTCCGGCATCTCGTACGTAGTTGGTCAGCTGCTCAAGAAACTGCTCCAGCAGCTTGGTTTGTTCGAATCGAGTTCAACTGTCGGCTTGCCATTGTTGGAGACAGTGTCGATGGAGGTGGGAAGGGCATCCTATTGAAGTTATATGGGGTTGAGTTCCAATGAGTTTTGAACAGAATGACGCCATGAGCATCGGTTCTCAGTTGTACTCTCGTACTTTAGCCTTTTCGTTGTTGGAATATCTATATTCTTGTTGTTGAACTTGTTAAAGAAATAAGTGGGTTTAATGACATTTTTAGCCTTTTAGAGACACTATTTTTTTAGTCATGTCAATATTCTAAGTTGATATTTTTATTTTTGATATTAATTTATTTTTGAATATTTTAATTTTATCCTTAAAATCTAATTCTCATTTTAAATTGGTCACTAATGTTTTAACATTTCAAATTCATTCTTAAACTTTGATCCTCCTTCTATATAGTCCTTAAAATTATAATTTAAAAATGTGTAATACAATTAAGGGTTAAGTACACAATGTCCTTGATTATAGGGTATCGATTTATTAAGTCTCTCGACTATTAAAACTTACAAATTGGTTGCTAGACCATTCATTATGTTTCAAATTCGTCCTTTTATGTAAAAAAATTGATGGTATTCTGAGCTGAAAGTTAACCTATTATCATATCTCAGTCATCTTGTTAACGTGCAACTTAGACAACCGTCAATTTTTTAGCAGAAACTGATGAGTTTGGAATATAATGAATATTAAAAAAACCATTTGCAATTTTTAATAGTCGAGAGACTTAATAAAGCAACATTATATAGTTGAAGGACTATTTTCTAACTGTTAATAGTCCAATGAATTAATAAAGCGGTATCCTATAATCGAGTACCATTTATTTAATTTACCCTACAATTAATTCAATATTTAATAAACTTGTATAAATTTATACTCACAATATTTCTAAAAAGAAACAAATTATACCAACAATAAGTTCTTTAATATTTTTTTTTATAGATTTGTATATTAGAAATTAACTTTTATTAAGATTCATCAAAATTATATTATTTTTTATTAATTTGGATTAAGTACAAGATAATATTAGTTCAAAGATAACTCTCAACTATTTGATATTAAACGCTCACACCCTTAATATTCTTAGTGCTCGAACCCAAAACTTAAAAAATAACAACAATTCTTTTACCATACCACTGAAATCACTCAATTCGTACCATCAAAATGATATTAAGAAATACAAAATGTTTTTTTTAAAAAAAGAAATCTTTGTATCGGTAAAATGGTTTATCAAATCTCTCCCTTATCTACAAATAAATAGGCACAGGTTTCCCTAAAGAGTTAGGACCGTAACGTCCCGATCACACTGTCCACAGCACTGTGGTATTTAGTATTTGCAAAGCAAAAATACAAAAAGAGACTCTGCGTTGCGATTGTTTTGTCAATTTCAAGACGGGCAGAAAATTAAAGAATCCAACTATGTAATAAATACATTTGTAAAATACATGTTTAGTAATTAAATTATTAATTTTAATATATTTAAATATTTTATTTTTTTAAAATCATATTTAAAATTTAATTTTTGTTTCGCTTTAATACTCATTAAAAATTTAACGTTAATTAAAAATTAAAAGTTCAAGTATTAAAATGGATTAAATTATCAATTTTTAACAAAAGATACCGAAACGAAATAAAAATTAAATATTAAATATAATTTTTAAAAAAATAAAAATTAATAATTTAGATACTAAATACATAATTTAACCTAAATACATAGTCTGATATGAAAATCATTTTACAATTACATTTTCTATATTTCCACACATTCCCGACCGACCGGGACATGGCCCGATTGTTTTCTAATACGCAAAAGGTCACTTTTGAAACCGGAAGCGCTCCGATCAACGACGGTTTTGCCATCGGTTAGTTATTTGTGGCAACCGGAGAAGTTGATGGAAATGATTTTCTCCTTCATTAATTGTGTGATTTGAGGAGCCGAAGGCCTAACGGTGGGAGACTGGTGAAGACAACGTGCGGCGATTGAAACCATAGCGTTTGCTTCTTCCAACTCTAACTCTCCACCCAAACGTGGATCCACCAACGCCGCAACTTCGCCGGCGGCTACTAATTTGGGTGCCAATATTGACGTCAACAGTTGTCCCTTTTCGGGACAAAAAGCTTCCATCCCAGTAACGAGTTCAAGTATGATAACACCCAAACTGTAAACATCGTTCTTTTTGGAGGCGAACCCGGTTCTTAAGTAATGAGGATCGGTGTAACCAGGAGAGCCGATCATCACTTGCTTCATCCCGGAACAAGACGGCGGCATCACCGTCGACGAAAAACCCATCTTCGCCGACCCGAAATCGCAGAGTTTGCAGTTGAAATGCTCGTCCAACAAGATGTTGGAAGCTTTGATGTCGCCATGAATTATCTGGAGGCTGCATTTTTCGTGTAGAAATTCGATTGCTTGAGCAAGTTGATAAGCTATGGCCATGCGTGTCTGCCATGGAAGTACTTTCTTGTTCCTTTCGTGTAACTTTTCTTGTAAGTTTCCATTCGGAATGTACTCAAACACCAGGGCCACTTCCTCTGAAAAAAATGAAGTAAAAGGTTTTGAATTTAATCAAAAAAGACTTTGAGTAAAGCAAAAGACTCACCTAGATCATCGGAGTAACCGAGAAGCTTGACGATGTTGTCGTGACGGAGACGGAGCAAGATATCCAGTTCTTGTTTGAACACTTGGTTTTGTCGATCACTACCGACGTGGACCTTAACTGCTCCTTTTCTTGAACCAGACAAGTTAGCCATGTAGACATTGCTAAACCCTCCTTGACCGATTACAACCGAGAAATCCCTAGTGGCGTCCTTAATCTCCTCCCACTTGAATTTCCTGACAACCCCTTCAGCGGCGACGACAGAATCTTTTCCATTGTCTTGATCGGATTGTGTTTCCGACGTGATCTTACCCCGTCGGAGTTTCCTGAAGCTCAGAAATTTGAACAAGAACCCCATGGCAAACAACAAGGCTAGAACCAAGACAAGAGACAGGGTTACAAAGATGTCGATTTGAGGGGGAACGTGGGATTGCGTCGGCGGGTCACTGGAAGCGGCGGATACAGTGAGCGGAGAGGGTAGTAATAAGAAAATGGAGGGGATGAGACGACAACGCCGCCGGTACCAGCAGACAGATTTGGAAATACATAAAATCCATTGCCCCGTGACCTTACAATTTTCAGTAGTCAAACATGTAGCCATGGGGACGCGCATAATCCGACAACCGTCAATTTAATATTCCGATCTTAGAGCTGACCGTGAGAGAGAGACAAAGAGACAGGATATATATTGGAAGCCTCCTAGGAAAGACACAGAGCTTCTTCTTATCTAGCCTAATATGCCATTTGCGTCCGTGTTTGACCGACCGGCTATCCAAAACATAGTATATTGTATGGGATTGTTTAATGATTAGTACATTGACATGAAAAAAATCATAAATTATTATGTATTTTATTTAAGATTTAGATATTAAGATTTTATTAATAAAAAAATATATTAATATTTTAAAATGTAAAATTAAATTTAGAGTTTGTAAATAAAACATATGGTGATATTTATATTTTGTTTGTAAATAAAATATATGAAAAATACAATATTTTATATTAAATGAAATCATAGCCCCTTCTAACTAAATTATTTTAACGATATATATCACACCATTTTGTTTATTAATAACGTGTCAAACGGATTTAAGGTTGAAAATTCTTTTTATTTTACTTTATTTAATAGTTTTAAGTAAGAAGAAACAACAAGACGGGAAGGATGATTCCCTCGTTTCTATGAAATTAATTATTGATTTTTAATCTAAATAATTATAAAAAGAAAAATAAATGGTTGTTTAATTAAAAGTCTATGGGGACAAACATATTTTCAACAAAAAATACATAAAAAATCTTAAATATATCACAATTTTAATTTCTTAGAGGGGACAACTATCCCCGTCTCCTCGATCCATCCCTAGACTGGAGAATATTTAATCAAAGTATTTATGAAAATCACTTGTTTTTAATGAGTGTCGTAACCGATTTTTTTCCGGACATAAAAAAAATGGTGGTAAATAAATAAATAGTTCTTATTGAAATGTTTTAGAGTCGCCATCGACTTTTTGGCTTAGGTAAGTCGAATACCTAAAAATCATATTTTCAAATAGTTTTTAAGAAAACATCATTTAAAAGATAAACTGGTCTGTGTATAACCAAAATTCATTCTTTTTTAATAATAAAAGGGATTCGTGGTCGGTTACGTTTGGGGAAGGATTAGCACCCTCATAACGCCCAAAATTGGTACCCGTTGATTATATATTGTCTCTATTAGTGGAAATCTAAAAATTCGAATATAAATTTATTTTACGATTATTTTATTTCATATTCAATTGCCTAATTATATTTAAAGAAAATTCTAAAGAAAATAGAAAATATTTCAATATTTTCAATCGAAGAGAAACTATTCCCTAAAATATTTTAGGATGAATATTTCTCTTTCCAATCGAAATAATAAAAATCTGATAATTCTTCCCAAGAAATAATATTAAAATAATTTGATAATAACCAAAAATAAAATAAATACATTTTTAGGTTTTTTTATAAGTAATATTTATTATTTTAAAATATTTAAAATAGAATATTTAATTACTAAGACAATAAAAAATATTATTCTTTAATTAAATTATAAAATTAATTAAATTAATTAACATAAGATATTATGATTATTTAAAAAATATGTAAATGAATAAAATAATATGAAAACGTTATTTATTAATTATTTAAAAAAATAAAAAATGTTTATTAAAAAACATTAATTAACATAATATATTTTAAAAATTAATATTATAGTAATTTAAGGAATAAAATTTAAAAGCACTAACATTATTATATATTAAAACCAATAATCATGGATTAGTATTTAAAAATAATAAAACAAAAGTTAGTTCTTATATTAATATAATTGAAAGTGTAGTATCCAATGTAGTGCTCTTTAAAGAAACAAAATATTAAAGTAAAATAATATTTTTTTTTAAAACAACGTGAATAGTATTAAAATATATAAAAAGAAATTAATGCTCTTTCTTTTCAATTTGTTATTATTATTTTTAATAATTTATTTATTTATTTTGTTTTAAAAGTTAATATAAATTATTAGGATATCTATGTGATAAAAATAATAAATAAGTATTAAATTCGAAATAGAAAAATAAATAATAACTAAAATAA